GACCTACATATTTACACGTTCTCCGCACTAAATATATCAATGTGTGTGTTGTGTACCCTGTGTGTGTGTGTGTGTATGCATAATATGATATGTAATTCATAGATAAGTATATCTGCCAGATATATATTATATTAACTTAGATAGTATATATATATAATCTTATATTTATATGCCACATTATATTATTATCATACCATATACCTATATGCTATAATACGTCACACAACACCGACTTATAATATATGTTATGATCTCATTACATCACAATAGATAAGACAATAGATATATTCATCAATTTATATTCATATACCACTATCCAGGTTACTGCCTTAACTGTATTTCTACCTACTTAGAGAGTACGCAACACCGTCGGCGCGACTACTGATGATCTATCTAAACAACCACTGCTGCGACATAACACTTTCCTTTTTCTCATTAGCTCCTTGAATAACGCACAGGATGCGCTAAGGACAATCCCCTAAAGGCTTAAGATAGTAGAGAGAGCGAACGAGAGAGAGAGCGAGAGAACAAAGCCCTTGCATGAAGACTCCCACAGAGAAAGTCTTGTATTTCGAGCAGTTTTACCTCTTTAGACTCTTAGATCCACAGACACAGGTGCCGCTTCCTCAGGCAATACATCATCAACAATCTTATTCTCTCCAGTTAACTCTATATATCTTTTTCACCTGACTATTCTTGTGTTTATTTTTTCTATTCTCATTTCTTCTTTTCTTCATTTAGGTAGTAATGCCTCAGAGATGCTGATGACCTAAACACATGCCAGTGGAACCTTAGCAGGTCTATACTACGCTACTGTGGTACAGCACAGCTGACTAAGATAGCTGGCCCGCGGCTAATATGTCTTAAACTGTCAATCCACAGCTCTCTATGTCGCGCTATTCTTTATGGACGATCCACTACCAGTTATCACATACGCACAAATGGCAGAGGTTCTAGTAAGTATATATTAACCGAGGTACACAGTAAGGTGATGACTTCTCTTACATGGCTACTTATTACAGATGCCTTTTACCACATATCAGTCAGCGCTAATCATAAATAACGACTTGACTGAACTTAAACTCAGGCATTGCGTTCAATATACTCCCTTAGGGTTAAGTAACTAATTGTCATCTCCCCCAAATACATGATATGCCGCGTTACACAGATCGAACCCTCCGTTCCCCAAATGAGTCGAGGACTTTTCTGCAGTCTTTGATTCATAAATAGCGCCTATCGTGACCTACGGTGTGTACTTCTGGTCCTGTCCTACGACTACATACGGCTACTAAGTCGATCATTTCTGCTCGCTCTGTGAGGTATGTCTCATCCTCTAAGAGGAAGACAGTATAGACCAAAATCATTTACTGGGATAACTATACTATTAAAGAAACAACCTGTTCAAAGAGACAATAGGTAAACTCTAGCACTAAGATATGTTGTAAATCCCACACTTCAATTAGTACAAAGAAGATGCTATAGATTTCCTGTATCGTCTACCTCATGTAATCTACTTTCTGACAAGTATCGCAGCCTAATTTTGATTTCACAAGAAACACTGCACAATGAATAGCTGATAGAAAATACTACTAATAATCAGACACTTACTGCTGTGATGCACTGCCCCATGACTGTTTTCCATTCTCTTAACTCAAATCACTTCTTAGGCCATCGAGGCCTACCACTCTTCGCAATATGACGAGTATGTACATTATGCTCATATCTCTCACAACCCATATTTGTGTAGCTAAACTTCAATATACGAGTATGTACATTAGTTTCTTCACACATTTTGGTAGTAAAATAAAAAGAAAGTCTATTTTGATAATGATATTAGATCAGAAAGCTGTATGTATTCACAGATTATCTCATATTTATTTATAGATATCTATATATGTATTTTTTATTTTTTATTTGAAACACATGTATATATACTTTTCCTGAACAGTGATAGTGAGATATAGCTTCCAGTCTATAGTACTGTATTTTTCTCCCATCATTATGGATCAATTAATACAAAACACAAGTTGTAATCACATGCATTGGAAATGATGCAATTAGGAAGCCTTATATTAAAGATCAGTAGGCCATAGATACAACTTACACCAGTAATTTTGCATTTAAATTATTTTTATTTTGCTACAGTAGATAACAACAGATATACTTGTTTCATCATATACATAGGGTCTGTAGATTTATTTACATAGATAAATTGATAGAAAGATGTAAAGATATTTATATACATATTAAGGTGATTTTTGTATTTAGTCTTTCATGAAATGCCCCCCCCCCCCTCTCACCCTGCCACTACAACCCAAGAATGCATTTACCTTTTCCTCTGTCTCATCAAGCAATTCCTTTGTATAGCAGGGATTTATTGTATACTCTTACCAAGCAGTTCTAGAATTTTCATATCTTGTTTTGTCAATTTGCATAAATGAGACATTTTTGCTTAAAAGGCTTTCTCCAGTAGTGAGAGAATGTGGTGACCCCTTATAGTGTTAAACAAGGATAGGAGAGTCTAAACTGTAAGCAAAACAAAACATAGTCTTCTGATTGCAGGATTCTGCTGTTTAAATAGTATTCTAAACAATGCTTACACTACTATATGACATTAGCTAAGAGTAAATTTCTCAATTGGTTTTGTGGAATATTTGTTATTAATAATGTTCGCAGTTTTAAAGTAAATTCATTGCAGTATTTAAAGTACTTTCTGTAGACTGCATTGATATCCATATATCCATATCCAGAGTGAGTGAAATTTAGTTGTAAAGAGCAATACTGAATTATTAGAATAATGTCATACTCTCACTGAGTATTTAGAATAGAAGCCTATATTGATATGTTAGGTTGCATTTTACATACTCGTCTTTAGTATACCAGTTTCATTAGCATTCTAAACAGTATCCTCTTGTAAATAGTAAATGCCATGGAGTGTTTTATTTATATGACTTAAATCAGTATCATTTATAGGTTTTCAGCTTTGTTTCAAGGAAAAGGGAACCAAGTTATGCCAAAAGGAGAAAATATACATATGTTTTGGACCACAAAGTGAACAGGACCACAGCAAAGCTATACATTGCATTTTGCAAGTGCTTGATGGTCATGACATTTTTATCATGACCTGGACTGAAGAGACTGCATTGTCAGGTTATTCTTGGAAAACAGCCTTTTCTTCTTTAGTAGCAGTAATCTTGAATGATTAAGGGTTATATTTATCTAGGAACCTTTATTCTTTTCTATCTCACATGATGTTACTATATTTATCCATATAGAAAAAGAGTTTAAAAAACAAGAGCCAGTATGGTCTTCTATGCCGCATTGAATATATATATTTCTGGTGCCGTCAACTAACCCGTTGGATCTGAATGCCTCTTGTGACCAAAATTTGACATTGGGCATCCTTCCTCACGGGTTTGTGGCTTCTAAGCCCAGCCCACGTGAACATTTACACGCCATGTCAAAACTCCTTGCCTCTTCTTTGCAATGCTATTAGCCCTTTTTGTGCAGGTGTATTTTTGCTGTTTTGCCATTTTCTGATATTAACAGGATTTGTCATTGGTGACAATGTATCAAGATGATAGCCTGTTTTAATTGAACAGACTCCATATTATCTCTCCAGTTAGTTTACACTGTGCAGTAACAGTAACTGTAAATAACATAGCATTGTTTGTGGTATTTTTATGATTTTTTGTATTATTGACTTTTCCGTAAAACACCTTACACCACTAGTAATGGCGGGCAGGACTAGATTTCTGCACATGGACATAGTGTCTTTCCTGGAAACAGTCCTCTCCTAGGCATGGTTGATGGGTGGTAAACTTCACTCTCATGGACTGGTGGAAATCCTGCAGGAGCTCGCAAAAGAGTCCCCATCCTCAATGCTTCCTGAGTCAGTCTTACTCCAAGTGCTATGTGCACTTATGATGAGATGTCTCTATCAGACGTTCCCATCACCTGCTCCTCAACCAAATTCTTTCCAGGATAGGAAGATCCAACGGGTTAATATTCTCTTTTTTTCTTCCTTCTCTCTTTCTTTCTCCCACTTTCTGCTCTTATTTTAACAAAGAAATTATCAATTATCATGGCTTGAGGAATAAAGAGACAGATGGTTATAACTGATTTAGTTTAAAAAACAAATGTAGAAGAGTATAGGGCATGTGCATGGGATTAAATATTTTATTTAGCATTTACTGAAAGCAGTGGAACTTTTGAATCATGGGAAGTTGATATATTAGAGTTTATTTGAGACATGAGCAATTGCCATTGTTTTTAGTGTCTGAGCATGTTCTGCTGGATACTTCATACTTGAGATGTTTGACAGGTCAAGTAATTTTTTTTAGAAGGAATGAAAATGGAAGTACGAAACATGAACAAGCACTTCTTTTCATGCTGGCAATTTTTAAAAGAAAACTGCAGGCCACTGTATTGGAGCATTATAAAGAAAAAGTGTGGTTTAATTGCTGAGTATTCTCCAAGACTGAAATAGAGAAGCTGTTATAGTGAATAGTAATTTATAAAGGGTCTTATTGAGTGATACTGTTTTAATATCAGCTATTGCTATCTTGTATTAGAATTGATTTCCATTGTTATTAGTATTGATGATAAGAGTATTAATAGTCATCATTCCCTTTATCATTTTCATCTCGTCATCTTGTGTTGCCCCATATGTGTTTGTGTACAAGCTATGAAGGCAGTCTAAGACCCTATAACTTTTTTACATGTGGCTCATGATTGCAAAATCATTTTCCACCAAGATTATTACACAGCAACTACTTAAATGCCCATTTAGTAAATAGAGGCATATAGTTTTAAATAATCAGGGCTACTTACCAGACACATTTGGTTGAATCACAGAGGTTGAGACTGCATTGGGTCATACTTTAGGAAGTAAGTTAGTGAGTAAGGAGGGCATATAGGAACCATTGTCTAAATTGTATAGTAGCTATTTTATGTCCTCTTTTATTATCTTAAACACAAGCCACTATAACTTTTTACAGCGGGGAGGTCCAGTCACCCAGATTTGTCAGCTGGGGCAGCACTCCAGTTCACCATCAGTCAACTTGAAATTGACTTCTATCCGTATCACCTTGCGGCAGGCGACAGAGCACACTGGGTCAAGTGAGTGTCCATACATGAGTTTCACTTATTCAGAGAGGGATCATCTGTGATGCCTTTCTACTGCACATAACATGGTTGAATTTGGGGTTTACCAGTATATCATATAAGTCATCAGTACAAGTGTACAACAATAAGTAAAAAAAATTACAGTGCTAACCCTTTCTTGCCATATTCACTTTGATTTTGCTTTAGTGATTGTGTTTACACATAGATAGCTCCAGAAGTACATGGTCACAAAAGTCTACTACTAGTCCAACCTATCTTATTTTTGGAAATATTCTTTGATGTTTGTTATTGTTAATGATAATGATAATGATGATAACATTTTAAAAAATCACAAAAATATGAACAAATATCAACAGATTTCTTGGTGGCTAAGCACTTGTGGAGTCTTCTGTGTGTAAAAAAATTACAATAGACAGTATTAAGGGTTAAAGCTAACATACCCTCAGTGCTCCTCCCCTTATGATGTTGTATCTTACTCAATAAAATATCTGTGTGTGTGTGTGTGTGTGTGTGTGTGTGTGTGTGTGTGTGAGAAGAGAAATTACATAACCCATAGTTCATGTCTCTGTGTGTACCAAGGCATAAATCTTGCATATATTTTTTCACAGATACTTAGCAGACTGTGGACCAGCCCAGTGGGCACAGGCATCCCTTGCGCAGTTCAGAACGCGACTCATAGATACTCTTAACTCTAGTCGGTCGTCACACACTCCTTTGTCCAGAGCCCCTCCCCATGCACGTCATGACACCTCTCTGCAGGTAATAAACTTTTACCAGTAATATTATTGGAATTGTATTGTTGTGCTTCCTCCAGTAGCCTGCTGAGTACCAAGCAGCAGTCAGGGGTGGCCATCCAGTTGATCCTGATTGACTGGTCGATCACAAGCCTGTTTCAAGTCGATCACCCTACTATATCTGTTAATAATTTGTCCTTCAGAAGTTGTCATGCGAATAGCTGCAATAGCATATCCAAGTACTCATGATACTTGGATTATTATTTTTCTCTTTTTTTCTGGGAATAATTTATATTTATGATTATAATAATGGACATGTATGAACAACATACAATTTTACATATATGGAATATGTTTGAATCTTAGGCTGGTAGATCGCATCAGGGTAACTGATCATAGATCATATCTCACAAAAGGTTGGTCACCCCTGCTGTAGATATTAGACTTATGTGAATAATACTGAATGAACTTCTTCCAAACGTAAGAATTTTATATAGTTGGGAATGTGTTCTTTGATTTATAGTTTTCTTGGTAGTTTCCCAACAAGAGTTAGTCTCAATTCCTGTTTCAGTGATCATATTGTTTCATATTGTGTAAAAGGGACGTCCGCTTTCATTCAGCAGCAGAAAAGGATCTCTGATTTTGTCTTAATTGCTCTGAATGAAGAAATTAAGAAGTGAGGTACAGGGAGCTAGAATTAGATAAGTACCTGAAGGAGGATATGAAAAAGCCTTGCCAGAAATACAGGAGATATAGTACTAAAGCCTAGTTATAGGATTATATTCTGGCTTTTAGGTGTTACTTAAAAGTAGGAGAATTTTCAGTTAACATCTTTTAACATTGCCAAATACACAGTAATATAGTGACTGTGCTGTTGACACAGAAAATTTAGACATGAAATCCACAATAGAAAAACATTGAAAATACACAAGACGATAATGAGCACCCATGAAAAAGAAGAAAAAAGTTAGAATACATTGAATATCTTATCAAATAACCCTCATGCATAATATTGTATTGATTCTTCCTTCTACACAGAGTCCTGGTGGCCGCATGAGCACGGCACCAGGAGATGCCACCAGTACTGGGCCAGCAAGTCCTTTAAAAGGAGTTGTGGGAACCCAGCTGCGGAAACTCATGTCCTCATGCTGTGTCCTACGGATTAATGACTTCTGCGTGTATAGGGTATCCACTTCCAAAAGGAAACAGGCCCCCAAAGAATTCATCTCAGGTATTTGGGCATCTCTTATGCCTTCCCTGTCGCCCTTTTGGTTCTGCTTCATGCATCTTGTGGGGACTCTTCATGTACCAAGATTGCTTTGTAAATTTCATTGTAGGAAGTAATAACAAGTAGGTTTGGCTTATATGTTCTTCAAGTATACTATTGTTGGCATGGGTTAGTGTTGTTTGATCCTCAATAAATTCTCCAGGCAAATACATCATGAAAAGGAATTATGTGTAGGTACTACAAAGACCACACCATTTGTTAGAATTGTTCTTAAATCTGTGTGCAACTTTTAAACATATTAGTCATCTTTATTTTGAAGATTTAGGGTCTGGTGTCTTTCATAATTTTCATATAAGAAATTATTTTTGTTTGTCCTGTACAAACCAGATATGTAGAAGTGGTATTGCATTTTTCTGTGAAGAGTCATTTATTGTGTTTTAATACTTAAGTTAGTGATGACTTGAGGAGGAAGAGAAGGAATACAGAGAGAAAGAATGAATCAGCTGGATTCAGCAACATTGTGACAGACGCTCATTTTTCTTCCTTTACATAGCTTGTCAAAATGGCCAAATATTACTCTAATGGGAGAGAAAACCAAGAGGAAAGATAAAGGGAAAGGCCTCCATTAACAACTCACCAGGTGGAAATTCTGCAAATATCTAGGATAAGCTCTATTACAATGATTTTCCCCCCTTTTATCAGTTTTCAGATTTTTTATCCTCATATAACTTGGTCTTTTTTTTTTTTTTTTTTTCTACTCATTCTCTACTTTATAGTAAAGTGCATGCTATGTAAAGGAAAGATGAGTTGAAAAGGTCATCTCAGTAGAATTTGATGCAGGTGAGAAGGTTTCCATGCAACACACCTGTCACAGCTAGCTTTGTAGTGATTGGTATTTGCCTTCGTAATCTTTTGCCACGCCTTCACACGATTCAGGTTCATCATATCCGAGTTGCATTAACCCATTACCTGCAAAAGACATCATTAACAAGCATTTTGTGGCTTGTAATACTCACTTGACACTATTGCTCTGATGAAACTTGATTCTAAACCTTGGACCTTGCTTATGCTAACCACCTTGCTTCGAATGCAAATAAAAAATGAGGTGCGATGTTCAAGTTTGATTATTATTATGAGGGCTCTTTTTTTCTTCTCTTTATTTTGCCATTGTAGGGTGATACTGTAATTCATGAATTAGGAAATGTATATATTTACTCTTATTCATTTATTGCAGGAACATATTTTTATTTTCCTTTCTATCATAATATTAGATTAATAAGATTATTCCTAGGTAGAAAATACTTTTTGATAAACAAATAACTCTTAGAGATAGAAAATACCTATTATAGAGAGCAAATATCTCCAGAGTTAGAATGTAATAGGTAGGAGTTTGATTTTGTGTGATTTAGATTTTTGATTTTAGGGATTTATGAGAAGACGGTATACAGTCACTGAAGAAGAACTTATACCAGAGATAGAGTACATCAGCTGTTCTCACCTCACATGTCAGAAATAGTAGTTAATGCATGTGTTTTATCTTTCTTTTCTAGTTGATTTATTTACTGTTTTAAATATTATATATTTTTGTTATTTCTCTTCATTCTTTGTATGCAGATACATGCTTATGTGTCTGAAATCATGTTATGTTGTAGGGCAGAATTTCTTTGATTATTAGTAATTAAGTGAATGATGATTAATTATGTCCAATTTATGCTTTATAATTTATCTCCTAGATTGGCCACTTTGCATGTGTGTGTGTAATTTAGAGGTCAAAGAAAGAGGTGATGACCCAGGAAGAGGAACCCCACTTGATCCAAGGCTTGCTTGCTTTCATGTGCAGTCTTTCCCCACAAAGAGACTCTCTGAAAAACACCTATTTGGCTTTTAAGAATAAGGAGATACAATCACTGCTCTGAAAAGAGAAATTAGTTTTAAATCATGGTTTTTAAGACCACTCCCCAAAAAATATTTAAAAGAAAGAAAAGAAAAATATTTATTTCAAGAATCATACAGTCCTCACTTAACCCCTCTGCAGCAGGTCTTATAATATTACAAATTTATGGGCAGGTCTCATAGTTTTATTTTTTCTTGTTTCATGCCATGTTTTAAATAATGATGCAAGTGTTCCAGCCACTGCGACTGAGCAATCTGCCTTGGTAGACCTCAGTTATTACCACGTTGGTGTCACGAAACACTCCATGACCCTTGATCTCTTGCACCCACTCCCCTCCACCTCTTACTGTAATATAATCAATATCCATATAGTTGTATATGCAGTTTATGCATTGCATAGTTTGTAAATTTATCATATTTATGGCTAGAATGATTTTCAAGATACTAAAGTTTCCATGAAATATTTTCACTTTTGAAGTAAGCTACATAGATCTTTGAGTGCTAAAGAGGGGTTAAAGAAAAGATTTATATTATTTATAAGAACCAATAGAATTTAAAACAGGTTCTCCCTACCCGAGTCCTCATCTCTGCAGTTAGGTGATAAAATCATTGATAATTCCCAAGCCTCTAAATGTTGTGCGACCCACACCGCTGACGTCTCTTTGTAATGCTGTGTTTATTCTAACTTTACTGTCTCTTACCTCCCAACCCCATAAGCTGGACACACCAAAAAACATCGGAAAAAGACAGGTATTCCCGTTTGTTCATCAACTTGCCAAATTACTATTATATATATACATATGAATAGTGTCTTTGCCCATATAGTTTACAAATGAGATCCTACCAGAATGTTTACTGTTTGATATTGCAAATAATTGAGTGTGTTTGGAAAAAAGGAATCCTCATGAGTTAATATTTGTTACACAGTCATAGATCTGTTGTTAATAATATTTGATGACTTTCTCTTACAAAACTATATTGTCAGGAATCTTGATAGTTACTATTGATTTAGAGATAAGTTTTGCAAAATGCCATAAACACATTCAAATATTTTAGAAGCAGTGTCAGACAGTACACATGTTATTTTGCTTGTTCATGTTTGTCAGAAACTATTTCATCTTTTTTGAAAATTAGACTTAGATACACTTTTAAGGAATGCTTAACCTTCCAAAAGTGAGTGAGTGCTTTTGTGTTGTGACTCTTTTAGTTTGTAGCCATAGACTGTTTCCCATTTTGTAGCCTCAGTGATTACTCAGATTCACATGAGTGAAGTCAATATTTACGAGGCAGTTCTGTTTACTGACATGCAAGTCAAGTGTGCATTTATCATCAGTAATGAGAAGTTAAGGCATTACATGTTACGTTTATATTGTCGGGAATTGTGAATCCCTCTGTATAGCACTTTACCAAGTTTGCCACAGAAGCAAACCATGAGTTCTGTTGGTGTTCCCAGCCATGCATGTTGTCTTCTCTGTGTGTATTGTGCCTCAAACCATTTTTTGTAGCTGTAGAAAATGCAGATGTGATTACTATAGATAGGACTGACTCATGGACATATGAGAACTGTTTTAATTTGTTATGTTAGATGTATTATGAAGTCCAATAATTGGTTTATTTGTTGAATAATCAATGTTCTCTTTTCCTCTCAAGATTTTAGTTTTGATATTTGTATTGTTTGTATATTTTTGTCAGAGGAGTGAGATCACTTATTCTCATTTAAATAAATTTCATTAAGTTATTACAGTTATACAATAATGGGAAATCTGAAGTAAATACTTGCAGGTAGTGAGTGAGTGTGAGAGAGATTGAGTGTGAGAGAGATTGAGTGTGAGAGAGAGTGAGTGTGAGTGAGTGAGTGAGAGAGAGTGAGTGTGAGAGAGAGTGAGTGTGAGAGGAGTGAGTGTGAGAGAGAGTGAGTGTGAGAGAGAGTGAGTGTGAGAGAGAGTGAGTGTGGGAGAGAGTGAGTGTGAGAGAGAGTGAGTGAGTGTGAGAGAGAGTGAGTGTGAGAGAGAGTGAGTGTGAGAGAGAGTGAGTGTGAGAGAGAGAGAGTGAGAGAGAGAGTGAGTGTGAGAGAGAGTGAGTGTGAGAGAGAGTGAGTGAGAGAGTGAGTAGAGAGAGAAGAGAGAGAGAGTGTGAGAGAGAGAGAGTGTGAGAGAGAGTGAGAGAGAGAGTGAGAGAGACGAGAGAGGAGTGGAGAGAGAGAGAGTGTGGAGAGAGAGAGAGAGAGAGAGAGAGAGAGAGAGAGAGAGAGAGAGAGAGTGAGAGAGAGAGAGAGTGAGTGAGAGAGAGTGAGAGAGAGTGAGAGAGAGAGTGAGTGTGAGAGAGAGTGAGAGAGAGAGAGAGTGTGAGACAGAGAGAGAGAGTGAAAGAGAGTGAGTGTGGGAGAGAGTGAGAAGAGAGAGAGAGAGAGAGAGAGAGAGAGAGAGGAGAGAGAGAGAGAGAGAGAGAGAGAGAGAGAGAGAGAGAGAGAGAGAGAGAGAGAGAGAGAGAGAGAGAGAGAGAGAGAGAGAGAGAGAGAGAGAGAGAGAGAGAGAGAGAAAGTGAAAGCTGAATGGGAGAAGTTTAATTGACAAGAACAAGTATAAAAAGAACAGGGAGAGAAAGTTAAAGTAAAAGTGAAGGCAGAGTGAGTTTAGTAGAGAGAGAGCAATTGAGTTTACGAGTGAATCAGAGAAAGGAAAGTTTAGATGAGATGGACAGATAGACAGAGAAAAAGAGAGAGAGCAAGATTAAGTAAATGTGTAGGAATAGGAGTAAGAAGGAAGAAAGGAGAGTATGTGTTGAGTAGAGTAGCAAGCATTTAAAATAGTCTATCTTGTGTTCTGTACTCTCTTCTGATTGACAATTTGCAACCCCAGGGGACAAGGATAGGTTCAACCTGCCCACCCAGATGGCCAGCCTCCATCTTGAGTTCACATCATACTACTACCCAGCTGACTCAGAGTTTCCAGGTAAATTGCTCATTACGTCTGTTTGTTCTAATCTGTGACTAATTTGGGTCCTGTTTATCTTATATTTATGTGTCTGATGGTGTCTTGTGGTTCATGGCTTTATGGACATTTTGATATATACCTTTTTTGCTGGCATATATGACACACTTTTTGGTTGCTTTATAAGTAGCTCTAGACTTTAGGCCTTTAGGGAGCCTGAGGGCAGTGATTTCTTTTATTTTTGCTTTTTATTTTTATTCTTTCTTTTCTCTTTTTTTCTTTTTTTTTTTTTTTTTTTTTTTTTTTTTTTTTCATCTTTCAAAAAGAGGATTTTCAATAAAGGCCAGTGAATCTTATACACCAACAGATACAGAATATTTCTTTGATGATGTTTAGTAATGACATATAATAACTAATTACATTTTACCGAAAAGTAGTGCTAACCCACATAATTTTTCCCTCTTCTCTCTCTCTCTATTAGTGCCGCCACCCAAGTTGTACCTGCAGCTCAACCCCATACAGGTGACCTTTGACCCCTTGTCCCTGTTATGGCTCAATGCCTTTACCAGAAGCCTCCAGCGCACCATCGTCACAGAGCCACCACCAAGTTCCTACCTCGACGTACACCTGGAAGCCATAATGCCTCGGGTGAGTGCTCAGATTGCAGATCTCAGATAAGGGTTAGTAACTTGCTTGTGAGCAAAGAATAATAATGGAAGAGGCTGATTGAGGTCTCAGGATATGACTTTGTTTTTCATTTTCTCTGGTTATGTAGACATCAGGTAAACTCGAGTGGTTGCTATATAGTCACCACTTTAAGGGGACTCAACCATGAAGATTGAGGGTGGCTAACACCTGGGCCATTTTTAAGTTTTGGTGGTGTCATATGCATGGCTAAACTACCTTATGAATATTTTTACTTAGCATGATCAAGGCCTGTGATTTCTGATTTGCTAGTTTTCATTGGAGCAGCTACAATACAGTTTGTATAGGATTTAGTTGTGTAATTTTTTAAATGCATCTGAGGTACTGAGTTTACGTATGCTACACTTTTTTTTTTTTTTTTTTTTTTTTTTCCCTCTCATTCAACTAACCAAGGGTTATTGACATATTGTTTCCCCCGGGCCTACAAAAAGCTTCGATTATCAAAATGCATTAAGATGGTCTAGAGTCCTGTCAATTTTTGTTTAATCCAATGCCCCCTGGAAAATGTTGTGTTCACTGTTGTATTGTTCTGTGAAATGTCTCTACACATAGATGGCACTGCCCGTGCTTAGCCACAAAGAAGTCAATTAGTAGACCTTATGACCTCACCTGATTTCACCTTTCCTTGATTTTGCAGGATAAACATTTTTTTTACAATAGCCACCTATGTTGATACTGTTATTTTTATTATAAACATCATAATTTACTCTATTGTAACGACATCACTAACAGTAATATTAATTACCAGAATATATTATCGAAAATCAAGGAAAAAGGTAAACAGGTGAGACAGGTAGGTCTCGTAATTGGCTCATTGGTGACTTAGTACTTGTGGAGCCATCTGTGTGTAAAAACAATTACTAAATTAAACACCCATGGCATATATGCATATCCCATCCCCAGCAGCATATGTTTAAGTATCTCAAGCCAGTGTTTCTCTATGAATAAAGTATCAGAATTTTTCAGTTTAACCAAGAGGTACTGGTACACACACTGTAGTGAGTTACATTTTCCAGGGTTTCCATAATAACTAGATATCATGTGGCTTTTTTACCATCTCATTGGTGCCTTGTACATGCATTGTTTACTGAAGTTTGTTTTATTTTCTGTACACACAGAAGGCTTCACAAGTGCTCAGTCACCAAGGAGTTAGTTACTCTGCCTAATTTACCCTATGCTTTGAATTTTTAGGAAAAAAGTTCCTATTTCTGGTACTAATATGTTCATTATTAACATTACTATTATCATTATTATGTTCTAAAGTTATTAGCAATAATAACAGTAATGAGAATAAAAATTTTCTTTCCAAAAATTAAAAGAATAGGCTAAATAGATAAGATCAGACCAGCCTAGTAATTAACTCCCAAGTTACAATGATTCTGGAGCCATCTGTGTAAACACAGTTGATAAAACAAGACCATAGTGGATGGTGGAAGTATGCAAGCACTCCTGCAATTTAATTTTGGTATACTTTGGAATTTCGCCTTAAATTCATTGCTATATTGGTTTCTTATACTAATCAACTAAAGAAGGGAGTACTATCCTCATATACAAGCATTATGCAGATGCTGGAACACTTGCCCATTCACATATTTTTTCTCCACTCATCAACCAGGTCATTATTGACGGAGTTGGAGAACAGACCAATCAGCGCGACCGTCCACGTGCCATGCACATCCAGACCTCGAGGCTGATCCTCTCAAATGTGCGACCTGCTGACCCAACCAGTCCGGGCTCACTTGCATCCCTGGCGACGAGCTTAGAAGCAGCTCAGCAAGGGGAACTGTTCTTTGCCTCAGACTTTCCAGCCACCCCTGCAGACTTCCAGCCAATTTGTGACAAGTTTGTCAAGCATGCCATGGGTAAATAATGTCTCACATCCTCTTGTGTTTGAAGATCAAAAGTGTTGTGGTGTTGTGTGAGATGGTTACTCCTCCTGCTTCATCTTTCCCCCTCTTATTCTCCTTATCCTTCTGTCTCTTACTCCTTCCCTGATCCAAATACTGTGTCTCGAGTATAAGTTGTGTCCTGAGAAACAAATCTTAGCAGGCCTCAGATATTTGACTTTTTGACTTAAAAATGTGAGTCAGTTTGAATGCTAAATGATACTTATTTTTACTCAAAACATAGAGAAAGAGAAAGGGGAAAGGGAGACAGAAAGAGTGAGAGAAGAAATTAAGATAAAATGGAAATAAGAGGGAGAAAGGGTAATGAAGCGAGAGTGAGGGTGTGAGTGAGTGATTGAGGGAAAGAAAAGAGAAACAGAGAAATAGAGATGAGGGGGGGGATGGGGTGGGGGGTGGGGGGGGGGGGAGTTGAAAGAGGTAAAGAGAGACAAAGTACTTGGAGCAGTAAGGTAAAAGAGACTCTTTTGGCAAATTATTTTTTTCTTCTCTGTAATCATCATCTCTTTGTATTTCTCCTGTTCTTGTACTGTCATGTTAAGCCTGTTTGAACTGTAAATCTGTTGTTCTATGCAGTTTGTCTTCCTAGCAGACCATGTGATTTGAAAGTTTCAAAGACCATTTCTAGCTTTGTGTTAGCTGTTGCAACCAAAAAGCTTGCCGTATAAGATTAGCTTGGTTTTGAATAGAGTTAATGTGTTGTACCTCATGAATGTCCATGCATTTGGAATGTTAATGTCTGTCAAGGAAAGTTTCTTGCTCATTTTTCATTCTTTATTTTTTTCCCTTTCAGAGATATCTGTAAATATATGTAGTTATGGCATGGCAATGACATGAAGGTTAATGGGGCATATTTACTTTTAACATCATGCTGTCTTTGGCTTGGTACTAAGAATGTGTAGCTTCAGTCTGTGGTTTTGCCAGCTATCAGCTTCAGAGTTGAAGCAGGAGTATCATGCAGTAAAAAATATAAATTTATCAGTAACCAAAACTGTATATAATGATTTTCTCCACAATGATTGTTTTTGCAGTTTTCTTTTATTTTCAGGTAGAATAGTTAGTGCAAGCCTCACCTGTACATAGAAGGCTTCAGTGATGTTGCTTACTCCTAATATGTTTTTGCTATTTGATAACCAGAGGCATAGCATTAAGGACCTGAGAATTGATAATGGACAATGAAAAAGATTATAGATTTTGTATTTTGGAAGAACACTTTGTTATTGATAACATGTAAGTGTAAAGCCACGACTGATTACTGAGCATTATTGTAGAGACAGATGTTATAATGTTGTTTTACTTCCGCAGCTGAAGATAATGTGAGAAGTCTTCCCTCGGTTGACGCTTCGTTATACGATGCTATATCAAGCATGAAACGCGATGCACTATGGACTCAAGCGAGGGATGTCCTCTTTGTGTACTGTGATCCCATGTGGGTAGAGTTTCTCAATGTGCCTGCTGCTCGAAATAGACCTGTTCCATTTGTGGATGCGTTTCCAGTGTCGCTCTGGATTTACATCAAGCCAAAGCCTAAGCCAATGAGTGATCAGAAAGTGTCTGGTGTCAAGCCTTGTGAAGATCAAGATGTTAGACCACACAGAGACTTATTAAGAAATTTTTACTGTCAGGAGCAAAGCAAGGAGGCGCATGACTGGGACGGAAATAAGCAAGTGCCATTTCAGAGGGATGAAGGGGAGATGCAAGGAAAGAGGAGTCGGCAGGAGGCTGCCATACACATACTTGCTCACACGCCAAGTCTAGTCAGTGCCCAACTCAACCACTACCAGTACCTGTTTCTCATGCGACAGTTAGATGTGGTCACGGAACTCACGACCTACCTTACCTCTGATACCATCCATATCCTGACACACCCTGATATGGCCGGAGTGGCCCTTTCTGCAGACAACCTCGGGGACACACTGGCCATCTCGGCCATGGTGCCTCAGCTAGACGTCTCGCTGGTGATGCCCCCCCCACATCCAAACAAAGACTCAGTGGCCGGAGATATGGAGAGCTTCCTCCCTGATTCCTCTTCCACAGCCGACCTTCACGATCTAGGTTCTCCTAGCTGCGAGGTACGGAACTCAGCATCAGAGCATAGTATAGTCCAGAGGGCCAGTGAAGCCGATGCTTGTTCCATATCTAGTGATATCACTAAGTCATACAGTGTTGATCAGTTAGCCTCACCGCAGCCATCACCGGCCACTACTTCCATCACAAAGCAGCCTCCCGCCACCGCCAATGGTAGCATAAGTCAGCCGCCGGTCAGTCAGCACTCTCCTGCCGCCACAGGTAAGCAATCATCGCCGTCGTCATCCACCCTTAGACAGGGAGCTACTAGAACCCTCTCAAGTAGCTTGACCAACCTTCCCCGTAGTGTAAACGCCAGCCATGCTATGGACTCCGACCCTTCCAGCATCAACGGCCCTGTCATGCAGCTAAGTCTCCATGACAACCTTAATGCAGGCTTTAGTACAATGCGAAAGGGAATAACTAGTGGCTTTACCAATCTTATGTCCACCATTGAGTCGGCAGTGAAAACCAGCCCCGAAGACATGAGTGACACCCTTTCAGTTCGTAGTGACCTGAGTTCCGACAGCGACAACTTCATCATGGTTAACATGGAATCAGAGCGCACTGACAGTGGACTGGGGGGAATGGACGCCGCATTCCGGGTGGAAAATAAGCCACCTCCGTCTTCCATAGAGCTTGCATCTGAAGTTTTTGAAGAGGCCACACCTAGTGAAGTATCAGATGTCACCAGCTCCTTCAGAAGAAAAGATACAGTAAGTAAAGCATAACCTTAAGAAGCCTAAAACTGTCAGACTTTTAAGCAAACTGAATCTCAACCATTATTTTTATGTTTTTTCACATTTAGCATTGGCTTTGTGTAGTCTTTTGATGAGCATTTTGATTTGACCCTTAAAGAGTACAGGATGTTCAATATGAAAACTGGATTGGTTGGGAAAAATGCCCGATCCTGATATCCCTTTAACGTCTCTTTAACATAAAATTCTATTAGTACAAAATAAATTACCCAAATGCCAGGAACTAATGGGGTATTATCAGTTCTTTTCTGGATGGTTCAAGCATCAGTTTTAATTACAATATATCATGTTATATCTTTAATTAACTAATTCTCATTGGACCCTCAGTTAGCATCCATCCCATAGTGGTTGACCAAGGAGTTATTTATACATTCACATAAGAAATTTCTCAAAACAACTTCAATGTCTCTCTTTGCACTTTCTTTCTTGAAACTTGTTTTTTTTAAGTTCAAGAAAAGGCAGTTGATATGCAAATTTAAAAGATGGGGTAAAATTGATTTTTGTACATTTACTCATTAAGGGTTGAATAAAAAAGATATATGCTAAGGTGAGATTGTGATTGAGAAGCAGGTTTCCATATGCTTAGTTCATCACATATATGACAGTTGATGCTTACAAATTGCTAATGATTCAAGGTGCATTCCTTTGGTTACTAGTTAGTTCTGTAGAACAGATGAGAACTGAAATCTGGTCTCTTCCTCATAAATGGTTCCTCTCATTCCTGTCATCTGATTTAGACTGATGGAGTGCAAAAGTAGATATGAAATGGTGATAGTCTTCAAAGTTTTGTCCAGATGTACTTTGCAGTGTTTTCCTTTGAACTTTCACAGACCCAGTGGTGCAGCTTAAGCAAAGCTGTAGAAATTTAATTGTAGAAAAAGTAATCTACTATAAAATAGGTACTTTCAACATAGCCAGCATCTTTGCACAGCGTGTGGGTGACTGAAATGATGTCAGAACTTTGTAATGCAGGACGGCATTGAAGCTGGTGTCACCTTGTTGGTCCATTGGCCACTGAGCCTACTACTTAGTGATAAGGGAATCACTGTGTTTCATATGGGTCTTACTTTTATGCTAAAGAACCCCAAACATGAACAAGTTTCACAGCAAGTGTTGGGAGAAATAGAGGATGTTTTAGAATGATATCCAATTTATGGTAAGAAAGGTATTAAGTGTCATTTGTGTGATGCATATAGTAAATTGTAGGAAATGTATTTATTGTGATACTGTTGTATGCATCACATCATGAATATAGATCCCCATGTGCTCAAAAGCCTTCTTCTCAAACTCACAGTATCTTTTGCTCCTTTGCTCTCTTGCTATTGTAATCTCATAGACTTAAGAGTACTGGATTTGATAAGGCAACCTTTAGTTCTTTAGACACAATAATGAAAGTGCTTCTCTTTTTGTGAGTACAGTATTTACTAACTCTGTTAGGAAGTGAAAAATAGCATGAAAGATCACTAGATTCAATAAGAAAGTTATTGTTATAAAGTGAATGACTTCCCGCATATGGGTGAAACCTAATATTTCTAGATGATAAAAAGGAGCCTATGTATCAAGTCTAGCAGCTTTGTAACACTTAGAATGTCAAATATTGGGATAAAGAGAAAACTGAAAAAAAATGTCATAGTCATATGTTTCCAATTTAGAGATGGCTGGTGTGCAGTTAGATTGTGTCCATACCAGGATGAGTTAAAACTTTGAACAGAAATGGAAAGGTCAGAGTCATCTTGCCTGAAGTCCAAATCCAGAAGCAATTTTGAGTTCAGGGAAAATAAAGCAACTAAAGATTTAATGAACAAAGCATTCTGTGTTCCCTCATATAACCTTTTTGGTTTGGATCAGTTCAGCTGATCGATCTCTCATGGATAAGAACTTAAGTCATCATTCTAGGCAAATTTTGGAAAATACAATGGATATGTAGCCATAGACATCCCAACTCTTTTTTTTTAAGTCAGTCACTAATGTCCAGGAGTTCCTACCTTTCAGTGGAAGAATCTTTGGTTTGCTACTGAGAGACCATAGCAAAATATATAGTAAAGATTTTACAGGTTTGTAAATCCCTTCCTGGATCCTTAGGAAGAGAGGAAGGTGAAGAAACACAGATGCAACAAGAACACATAGTCAGAGTTCTGAATTAATTGCTATTTTTCCTTAAAATTCTTTGTTTTCTCATCAAAACGACCTTTTCATTTGAGTGTGGAAGGAGAGAGACCATACCTACCTTCCCCTCAGTATTTTGTTGTTTTGGAAAGGAAATTAGACTGTAGGTTCTTGTTATGATATTTCTAGAATAACCATTTCTTTAATTGATGAATTTGAATTTCTTGTCCATCATGTGAAATAGGATCATTAAAGAAAAAAGAACTGATAGTTGTAGACCTTCTTTTAGTTTGTTTTGTTAATTAAATAAAGCAAAATGAGGCACAACAACATCTCATAGGAGGTAAGCATTCTTATGCCTTTGTTTTTATTGTTATTCTTTTATATTGTATTTATGAAGGTTATTTCTGAGTACAGGTTGTACCCAGATACCACCTGGTGTATATGTCAGAAAAGTTAAATTTTAACATCAGATCTAAATAAATGCACTCCATCCAAATGCTAATTTTAATTGCATTGGTGCATATGATATTGTTTAAGTTGTATGATATTAGTTGCTTTGTAATATTAAGAAGGAAAGATAAATTTTAAATCATCAAGAGGTACAGAGTATTTTGACTTGGTAATATATTGAAATTACCAATAGGCAATATAACAATTTAGAAAAACTAACTTATTAGTACAGATTGGTGGTTAATGCATATGTTAATGCTATATGTTAATGAACTGGTATGATTGTAATGAATTAGGTTTATTATCAAGCTCTCATCCCCCTCATTGCAACTATCCAGCATTCAGTTGATGCCACTATTGTCTACTGGCTTTAGATGTAAGTACACCTGTCCTTCAGCATTATCCTTCAGTCTTTTACACAGTTCAGCTCCTATGTTTCCTGTACATTAGGAAGGGTCTTTGACACTGATAAGGAAAGGTTAGGAATGAGTTTGTGTTTTGGAAGAATCAGTAAGAATTCTCCCTTTCTGATGGGTTCTTTAATGTACAGGCTGACCCCTGGGCACTAGCATTTATTGGTATATGATTACGATGACAAAATATGACAAAGAGTCTTCCAGTTGAGCATATGTTGGAATGAATTGGAGCCATGAGGAAGGGAAAGATTTCTTTGTTCTTGTGGATGTCATATATGAAGTGAAGACAGCTATGGAAAGGTTTGTATAGACATCATTCCTACTTTTGATAAACTTGAAATTTGGTGCAGGTGAACCAAAATTTCTTAAGCAGTTGGCAACCCCAGATTTTATTTCCTTAATGTTAGCAGTTGCTGTTAGTTAAAATGCCAACATAGCTATGAACACAATATGAAACTTGTTTGGTCCTAACTCTATCCAAAGATACAAAAGACCGACTGTGAATGGAACTAAAATAAACATTATCCGGTTCTAAATATCCCAAACCTTCAACTGGACAGTTGCTTTCTTTAGGTCTGACTCAGAGCATGCTACCCTCTTCTCAGTGAAACAAAATTATGATGTTGATTGTTTCTTTTTATATTTAGTATGTTCAACACCCAATATAGCATTGTATATTTATTATATCATACACAATATATATCAGAACATGTAACAGTTTGCATTTGAAAAGGACACTCACATAAACATATATGCAAGCATGCATACATGTAGGTTCATGAACATATAAACACATATATATTAGATTTACATAGTTGTAGACACAGACACAAAGACATACATGTGCATACATAGCAAAATTCAAGGGGCTTGTGGTGTTTAAGATCTGTTGACCTTGTATTCTTTATATATAGGTTTGCAAAGTCCTAAATGGTCTGTATAGACAACTCATGTTCTTTCTGGTGCCTTTAGATAATCAGAAGAATGATGATAGATCAATGTTCAAAAGTTAAGTGCCTGTAT